AAACTTTACTTCATTCTTTCTTAAGCAATCCCAGCTTCATGATTGATCCAATTGGGATCATATCATGCTGCCTTTCGATTACTTCGCAAAACTTTGCCAGAAATGGTAACTCCACTTAGTTTGTTTTTGTCTCAACTGTAGACCCCATTTGTGCTTCGATGACGTTTCGCGGTTTGCGGTTGGGAACCAACTACCGTTCTGTTATAGCACGACTTCTAAAAGCGTGGACAGAAGTCATTGACGGAAAGTTTTGGAAAACGCCAGCTCTGCGAATGCTCTGGATGGACAAGAAGGTTTGTTTCCAATTCCACAGAAAAAGAAAAAAAATGCTGGTTATCTATAACATTCTTTGACACCCACTAATCCCGCAGGAACGAGTTATTGAAGCTCTGGCATATGAAAGAGACATTGATAACGTGATGGCGAGGATCAACGTTGGTCGTTTGCATCTCCTAAGCACTATCGTTACAATCCCCTCGAGTAAGAACAAACGGCTTGTCCCAGGAGAATTGCGGCTGCTCATGAACTCTGACCAGCTGATTGAAAACATCGAGGAAGACCAGAACAGTCCTAAGTTTCCCCTCGACTCATTCCTGAACTTCCATTTCTCAGTGGTCCCTGCAAAGTCGACAAATTTTCACTGCCACGCAGGTAAGACGTTGCACTTTACTTTCACGACCAACGCACCCTAAATATCCCATAACATATATGCAATTACAGATGTCACAGGATGCGTACGCCGAATTACAGTACCAAGGGTATGTTAGAATGGTATGCTTGATTTCCATCTGGTTATTGAAGACTACAGGTATACTAGAGCATGTACCTAAGATCATTACAACTTTCGACATACAAATAGTATATCATTTGTTTGTGTTTGCAAAACAGTGGGAACAAAGCTGTTGTGCAGTACTGTGGCTACGATGTCGCTGCTTACCTCCAACAAGCAGCAGATGTAGAGTCACACCTCCCGCTTATAACCACAATTACATCGGTCGTCGCCGAGCCCCATGAGTGTAACGATGATGGAATATATGAGTTGGAAGCGACAAGCGCCAGCCGCCTGGTTATCAGTGCATACAATGAAACCACTGAGAAAGTCATGAATAGGTATTTGTTATTTTCTAACAATCTCTTAGACAATTTGTTAACTTCACGTGTGCTTTCATTGCAACACCTTATCCTAACATAAACATATATTCACGAAACTTAGGTTTCTGCCATGTCGCAAACCGATAAAGTACATAGCCTTTGGAACAGCTGAAAGGATGGGATACCTACGCTACCCTCGGCCCCCAGTAAGAACACTTGCTCAGATAAAGGAAGACTTGAGTTCAGAACCACAACAGCGTGAGGTGTATAACAATGCTTTGAAAATTCCCAATATTAAAATATGTATCATTTGCTATTACTTTGCACTCTAACCTAACAAAAACAATTTCCCTGTTTCAGACCCTATACCGAACCATAATCAAGTTCACTCATGTCAGATACACAAATGACATTTGCAGAACCACCCAGGAAAAGCCAAGGTGAGCTTGAATAGTTAAATTGACCCGGCTGCACTTTTTACAAGAAACGCTTGCATGATTACCAACAAAGCTAACAGGTTTCAAATATAACCAGGCTGCACTACCAAATCGAAGCAAGGTGCAAATCAGAATCTACTGAGGCTCATGTTTTCCTCAATCACGAGGCAGCTCTTTCCTTAATCTGCATGCTACCGCCAAAGTTTCTTAAGCTGAGCAAAGATGAAGTCAAAGGAATCATAAAGAAGAACTGCAAGAAACCCTTTGCAGCAAAGCTGTACATTGCATGGCCGAGCCCAGGTCAAAACACAATGCCACATATCAGAGTTGCGACACTTTGGGATAGCTGTGCTTTAGACGATTGAACAACAACTTCGACCAGTTCCATTTTGAATCAGCCAAGCTACTGCTGATTAACTGCTCTTTGCTGTTTCTACTTAGGCCTTGACATACTTGACAACACCTTAGGTCGTCTTTTGTGATGTACATGTCGTCCCCTATCATGGTGCACTCTTGACCTATTTTGTTTCATTCGTTGAAGTGTTCGTGCTGGCTGTTCTTTTCTAATTTGTAAGATCGACTACTGTGGGTCGTAGATGGGAACAGCTCAGCCTTTGACAAGTAATCATCGTACATGTCAACACCATTTTGAAGACATACTTATATATCGCTATGTGAATCTATCCTGAATAGCATTCTCATCTACCTAACTTTCCGATCTCCTAGATAATATCATACATATGTTCTTGCCATTTGTATGCTCCTATGCTTTTTAGCAAACTTATTTTGTGATCCCCTTGGTTATTTTCCCAGGTTCAGAATGGCCCACGCTGTGTAATCAATTCGTGGATGCTGAGGTCATAATTCTGTAACCATTGTTTGATCAACATGTACTCCCAATGTACATACATATGTTCACATGGTCGTTTATGTGGATGTTAGTTAGTAGTTAGCAAATAACAATATAATTGTTTAAATTGTGATTTCTCCGATGCCAACCCGGCTTTGTAGCATAGAAAAGTTACGCAAATCAAGCATATCCCGCGGCAGAGCGCGGGCTAATTACTAGTAAATAATTATTTGAGATATATGAATTGATATTTTTGATAGTTTCAATATATATTTAATTTACTATGTTTTTCTAAATACAAAATTATATCAGGAATGGTTTAAAAAACCAACAAAACTATTTTAGCGTAAGTATATTTTTTCTAAATGGACCAACACTCGATAAAATCCTGACTACGACCCTGACCGCTAGAAAAATATGAGACCTCCCATTACACCAACCAAACCACTTGCAATTCGCAAATGCAATCAGCTAGCATTAGCTAAAACGTAATCATTCTATTCCAAATTTGGAACTGAATATGATCAACGAAACCAAGTGGAATCCTTGCATGAAGGAGACGAAATGAGATTAGATGAAGTCACCGATTACAGTTTCAACTCGAAGTATAAGATTTGTTGAAGTCCACTAACATGAATGAATATAGTCATTGGCCGTTAATGATTTGGTGGGAGACCCAGAATGGCAGCTGTGACCGGAGAACTAATGCTTTTGTCAGTGGGAGATCCTAAATGGACATATTTAGCTGTTCCCCGTAAATTTCTTCAGTCTTACAGTCTGGTTCTGCGGCCTAACATGCGCACTGATATATGGTTGAAAACCACTTGTCATCCACACGATTATATCCTCAATTGAATCACAATTGTGTGCAAGTGCAATGCTCTGTAATATTGTTGAAAGCTGGAGGGCCATTCAATTCAGGCCTTCGTTCTGCAACTGGACTCGTCCATTCAGCAACATTCTAATTTCCTTTTTTTTTTGTAAAAAAGTGGGACGCTAAAAGGGCGCCCCTGCCTGGCACTTAAATTAATCGAGATTGGGCAATGCCCAAGGTATCATACAGGATCCAGTAATTCAGACCCGGATCAGAGATATCAACATCATGAAAACCAAAACTGGCGGTATGTGCTCTATTAGCCAAAAAATCCGCCGCCTTATTGCATTCTCTATAAACATGAGAGATCTTGATCTCCCAATCTCTTTGAAGAATCTGCTCGACCTGATCGGCAAGGTTAAAGAATCTTTCATTGCCGTGGTCCTTCGAAGTGAAGAAGAGGTAAGCCGTCATGGAATCCACTTGAAGGTGAACCTTCCTGTAACCTTTAGCCCATGCAAGGCGGAGCCCCTGAATCGCCCCCTTGATTTCTGCTTTTGTAATTGTACTGACTCCCAGATTCCCCATAAAAGCAGCTAGACATCTGCCAGAAGCGTCCCTAATAAGACCCCCAGCCGCTGCTGTTGACTCGGGCTGTCGAACCGAACCATCCGTGTTAACAACCACCCACCCTTCATCCGGAGATTTCCATGCTAGCTCGGAGATCGTTTTGTTGCGTATGGGAGCTCGCAGATGCGCTTCGTCCTCATAAGCTTGCTTAATAGCTTTGTTCCAGCTCACTATTCGGCAGGCAAGAGTTGGAGCCTCCTGGTGTTTCTTCTCAAAAATTCGTTCATTGCGGCGTTTCCAAAGGTACCAAGCTGCAACTCCAAAGAGATTGCCTGACTTCTCATCCTGGATGTGTTTTGTCAACCAATCTGCAAACCCCAAGCCACAAGTTAGAGTTGTCTCCACAATTTGAAGTTCTTGCCATACCTGTTTTGCCTCAGGGCAGCTTCGAATGATATGTTCAGCTAGAGGTGGCAATTAGGATCCAAATCCATGAATCCAATCCAATCCATCCACCAAATTATCCACCTAATCCAATCCATTTAAATCCAATCCATTTGATCCAAATCCAATTGGATTGGTGGATTCATGGATCAATCCATGGATCCAAATGGCAAATTACGATTTGGTACCTATATTTTTTATATTTTACATTTTGGTACCTAAAATTTATATTTTTATACGAAAAATATCACTGGAAAATTACATTTTGGTACCTAAAAATTTTCATTACGACATTTTAGTACCTAGACTTTTCAAAATTTACATTTTGGTCCAAGCCTTGGATGTCATTTGGATTCATGGATCAATCCACCAATCCATTTGATCCAATCCATGTATCCACCAATCCATTGGATCCAATCCATTTGATCCATGGATCCACCAATTCAATCCACAAATCCACGAATCCGATCCAATTGCCACCTCTATGTTCAGCTGTTTCGGGCGCCTGCTTGCAGATGTCACAAGTGTCATCGGAGCACAGCTTTCTCCTTTTCCTTTCACTGTTAGTCAACAGACGATCATGCACAGCAAGCCAGAGGAAATGCTTGATTCTATTCGGGCCCTGCCATTTCCATAAATGTTTCCACCCACGTATTGGGCCCAAATATTCAACTCATGTTTGCTGTTAGTTTCACACAACCTTGAACTAAAGCAAGCCCAAACCTAAGTCAAGCCAACTGTGTAAACCTCTGTTACATGGTATGCTTGTGAAGTTCGATGCCAACCACAGAAAGGACAAGATCAATATGCAGATGAATGACTAGAAACTGAACAGATTAGCATGAATCATGACGAATCCATATACACCAAGGACTCTATATGTGGGTTAGACATAGTGGCTCAATTGGTTACAGTACAGGGAGACCTGTTTGCATTAACTGTGAGCATAAAACACAGAGCTCAAAAGGAGCACTCCTTCCTTGACATAGCAAGCAGACCAACCTTTCAGGTCTCTTTGCTCCCAATTCGAAACAAGTACACAGGAGAAAGGTATTGATTTATAAGAGGAAAAAAACGAAAACATAAACCCAAAAAACAGAAACGGGTGAAAAAAAGAGAGCATTTTTCACATGACGGCAGACAGCTATTGTCGAAGAAGATTTCAAGGGCCACGAGTTGGGGCAAAGCAGAAACAGCCTGGGTTCTGGTCTTCAGGGATCATCCCTCCTCCTTTGCTCGTGTCAATGGCTTCCAACATCTTGACAACCTCGGCCATCTCCGGGCGCTTCTCCGCATGTCCATCCCAACATTTCTTCATGATGTTCGCCAGTGAACTTGGGCAACACCTCGGGATCTCGGGTCGTAGATTCTGCATTGTACAAGTTTCGGGAGCATGGTTATATGTTGAATGTATGAGACACACATGATTGCCTATGTACATGATTCATTCAGCAAAATCATGACGAGCTTACATTTCGAACGACAGCAGATGTGACATCGGCAAAGCTAAGATCTGGGTATGGCATATCACAGCAGTAGATTTCCCACAAGCATATGCCGAAGCTGTAAACATCGCACCTTCTGTTGTACGGCTTCCCATCAAGCACCTTCATTTATCAAGTATCGAGTTTATAAGTAGCTCCAGAAATGGATGTTTTATCTTAAACAAAGCCAGATGAAATACAGTTCAGAATTACCTCAGGGGCCATGTACCCAAGGGTACCGGTTTCGCCAGTCATATCACTTGGATTCTGAGCTTCAACTCGAGCAACACCAAAATCAGCAATCTTAAGATTCCTCTGACCATCCAACAACATGTTCTCTGATTTCACATCACGATGCACGATCTTCTTTGAGTGCAGGTAACTGAGACTGCAAGTTCAGCATGTTTACACCATCATCATTCGTTTTTCAATTCTCATAACAAAGAATATTAAAGTGAGCGAAGCTTTCAGACTCACCCTCTAGAGAGATCCAAAGCAAGTTGTATCACAACCTTATAGGGAAGCTTCTTCCTCCTATTTCGTATCAAGTATTGTTTGAGTGTTCCTCCTGGAAGATACTCAACAACGACACAACATGCCCTCGCGGTATGCCCATCGGACTGCTTGTTTGCAACCTTGAGATCCGAAGTTCCCATTGATGCTCCAACAAACTGTAGGAAAGAAACAGGATATGCAAACACATTGTTTCAATATACCGAATTAACGAAACTATAGAGACCTTTTATTTATAAGATGTACACATTGCCAAAGCCATTGCAGTCGAGATAACTGCAGAAGTATTTGAATGAACTGCTGCAAGGTCTAACAACATCGTTTATTAACAAGGAATGAGAAGTTTGAGATTGCATGTGCAGTTTATATACACCCAAATGCAGAGAAATTTCAACACGTTGGTTCCATTGCATGCTATTACCAATATGACACCTCCAGATACTGAACCAAGCCACATGCCAATAAAACTGAGCAGCAAAATAGATACGAAAGAATAACGTTTACCTTTGTTACATTAGGATGATCGAGCTTATGCCAAACTGCCACCTCCTGCCTAAACGATGCCCTGAGAGAAGCGGCTTCAGCTACTGTAATCATCCCATCTTCACCCCAATCCAGTACTTTCACTAACATCAAGGCCATGGAAAAAAGCTTCATTATTCCACAGGCAACATATAACACAATCACCATGCACTAGCTAGCTAATCAACAGAATGATATTCCTTTCATATCAACACAAAACAACAGCATGCAAATAAACTTGTATAAGCTATAAGCAGAGGTTCTTACCTGCAACATCTTGATTATCGTATGTCCCCTTATAAACAGTCCCATAAGTCCCACGGGCAATCTGGTTCTTTATATCCAACTTAGAGAGATCAATTTCCCACTCTTCCTTAGGATTTTGCTTCTCAACGTTGTTCCTTGACCAAACCCTGCTCAAATGCTTCTCCAGCTGTACATCAAGGCTCTTGAGATCGATTCTGTCTGCTCGAAAAATCATATCTTTGCTACTAACACTTCCTGTACCTTTCACCTTAGAGTTATTATTGTTCATACCTCCCTCTTCGACCTTCTTCTCTGTTTTCAGACCCTCAACGTCTTCGCCCATCCTTGAATCCATGCTTATATCAAAATCGTAGAACAACTGGGTATTCCTAATTCCTCTTTTCCCTCAATAAAGAAGAGATCACTGGGAGCTGGAAAGATTCAACGACGGTTTTGTTCAGGTCGAAATTCACCGATATAAACGAGAGCAGGAAAAAAACAGGGGAAGGAAACAAAAAAGCAGGCACGAAAAGGCCGAATGGGAGAAGAATTCGATTCCCAGGAATTAAAATATCAAAAGGGTAAAGCCCAATTTCAACCAACCTCCCCTTCCTCCCCTCCCCTCCTCTCCAATAATTGGATGTTACAAAAACCCTAGAAAATTGAAGGCCTGTAAACTGGGTTTCCCTCCAATCATAAAAACAGAGCACAAAGAAGAAAAAGAATTGACCTTTGCACTAATTCAAAGCACCATCACCGGCCGTATGATTGATCAAACTACGCCACAGGAAATTCTTTATAAATGGAGGGAAGAGAATAAAAGTAAACCTCTCTAAGAAAACGACGACCCAATGCACACGATTCCCCTGAATGACGAACCCTTAACTCGAAAACAAACAAAGGGAGCTCTTTTCTTATTTTCCCAACTGGAATCAAAGAACAGCACGCGCGATGGAGGGCAAAAACCCACCAAAAAAAACCCTTTAAAAGAAAACAAAGAAAAAAAACAGGGGAAGCTGCAAAGAGAGAGGGAGGGAGAGAAGAGACGGGGAAATTGACTTGAGAGACAGAGGTGGAGGAGAATCCTAATAAAGGGAAAGATAAAAGGGAGATAAAGAAACAGATAGGATTAATAGAGTCGGTGGAGGATCCATGATGTCATCGCCATTATTGCCATAAAAACAACACCAGCGGAAAGGCAAGTTTGATGGCAGGGAAAAAAAGCAGAGAGATTTCGACCTGCTAGCTAAACATAGAGATTTAGCTAAAGAAGATTCAGAGACAGGGGAAGTTTGAGAACCAACGGCGGAGAAAGAATCCAAATTCAACCACAACACCACAGAGGAAGAGAAAAAACAGAGAGAGAGGGAGAGAGAAGGCAGCGTTGGGAGACCGCAATCGAAGGGGAAGAAGAGAAGGGAGAGTTGTTGGAGAGACCGTTTCAAAATCTACGACAAAGGTGGCGGAATGGATAAATTATATACCAGAAAAGAAAGCAAGGGACAGGAAAATTTAGATGGAATGGAACTTTGGAGGTTAGGAGGAAGGTTTCGGGTCTCTATAGGATTCGGCCAAGCGACAGATCAAACAAACTTTCAGCTTCTCAATCAAACTACAACACTAGCTAGTAATTAATACTAATCTCCAACGACAAAACACTAATTAATTAAATAATCTTCTTTTGGGTCTCAATAATCTTCATTGGGGTTCTCATTGTCGTACAAGTGCTGTAGCTGTACGACAAGTAAGCATATGTATATGTTTGGTTTTTCTTTGGCTCTTGAAGTTGGCTAAATTGGACGATTTTGGATTTGGAGTTTAGCTATATTACAGCTTAGTGGGTGTTGGGACTTGGGAGGTCTTAAGATGGATTAGGGTTAGTCAATTGCACGGTTGATGGCTAAATTTAAGGGGAATTAACGGATATGATTTCTAGTACTAGCATTAGGATTTCACTTTTGCTCTTATCCTTTTCGCAAAATAAACATATACTACCTTATAACCCGACCCGTTGGTCGGAGGAGTTGAGCCGAATATTGAATTATTGAGATAACCCGTAGATTCAACCATTAAGCTAAATTGGCCTAATGGTGAGTACCGCCTAGCATATCCCTAATAATCATACCAAAGTGAATATATTGGAACATAAACAGTACATCAGAAGTTTGTACAACCATGAAGTTAGACCATTAAAAACATACCAATGAAATTGAATATAATCGAAAAACTTCAACTTCATTATATAATTACATGAGATCAGAAAGAGAACACCATTAATTTATTTTATAAAACTTTCATTTTGTCGTCATTGTGCTTTCTGGTTTTTGTCAGGCCATGATAAAATCTAAGGAAATCAAGAATGAACAACATGATTTGGGATAGGAACCGCCGTTGTCGTATTCCTAGAAAATGGTGGTAAACACGGACTCACTTGCCAAACTGGTTTGGATTGAGATTTTTATCGGGTATCAGGGAACCATGTGATTATAAATTAGACTTGATCAAAACGGGCCAAAACTTAAAATTCAGCCTGTTTGACCGACCCATGCCAAATTCTAATTATTCGTTACTTTTAAACTTTCTATTTGAAAATAAAAAATAGTGAAAGAAAAGAGATGACTGCAATTCGCCATTTGCACATCACTTATTCGGGAATAAAACCATAGAAATTCAAAAGGAACTGAAAATGTTTAGGATCGTTTTAATGTTTAAAATAACCAAATAGATTTTTCTGTTTAGTTTTTTACTAACAAATACCAAACGATTCCATATAAAATACACTATAATTTGATCATTATGATATTAAATAATTATATAATATATATTTGAAATGATAAAAATTGGACTAATTAGGTTGGTCGAGGTTGAACCATTGAATAACTTTAAAATACATTAACAAACATATACTTTTTTCCCCGTTGAATAAAACATATTACGTAAGTATTTCGTAATAATTAAGGCACTAGATAAAACTTGTGGAGGGTTAATAATTTTTTTATGTATCAATTAACAAACATATTACGTAAGTATTTAATAATATGAGTCTAAAAGAATATTTCTTTAAGTTAACTAAAATGTTGATAATCTCATCAATTTGCGTAACACCAAGATTTTAATTGTCAGTTATGTTTTACATAATAGTTTAATCAAAATGTAGTATTTTTTGTAAAATTAGTTATTTTATTATTATTTATTATTACTTACAATCTTCATCATCTAATAAATTTGCATTACAAAAATTCCATAAGATAAGTTAACTTTTGCTTAATAGAATAATCAAATACAATATTTTTAAGTTCGTTATATAACATTTATGTAAATTATATATACATTACGTAAAAATTATGATCAAATAGTTGCTTTTACCTCTATTTTCAAAATCAGGTCAGATGTTGAACTGAAAAAGTTTGCGGTTGATGGTTCTAACGGTTAACCATTATAGAACCGTTGATAGAACTGTTCATGTGCTATAACATAAAAGTCATATATAGTACACATTTAGGACTGAAATTGTCACTAACCATAAAGAATTTCAATCCATATCATCTATACAAAAAGTTCTAACAAAGTATTCAAACTATCTCACAATTTTTTTTATTAAATTCAAGTTAGTAATCATGGTGGCAATCCATAGTTGACCACATAAAACCGACAAGGAGACAGAGAAATGAAGAAGGAAGTATAAATAAAATTAGAGATTGGATGATCTTAGTTTACGTTAAAGTATTTTCTTAAATTTTTTGTGGTTAAAATAGTGAACCACTAGACCAGTCAAACCGTAGTGGTTCATCGGGTTCATGTCAAACTATTAAAAATTGTTAAGTCCATTACTAACTGGACAATCAAATGAACCGACCCACTATTGTAACTAGTTTAGTGGTTCTATTGGCTCAACCATTGATCTAGTTCGGTTCTTATAACAAAGATTTTTACGAATAAAATTAAATATATGTATTACTCCATAATGATTAAAGACACTACATAAATAAATTTTTGAGTATTTATTTTATAAATTATTTTATTTTTATTAAATTATTGGGTAATTAGCATAATGTCACAAAACTTTGCACTTAGTACAAAACGATCACAAACCTTTAGTTTATAACAATATGGTAACAAACGTTTAAACTTAGAACAAAATGGTCCCAAATTAAACAGTGTGACCATTTCATCCAAGTTCAAACTTTTATTACCGTGTGGTTACAAATTAAAGTTTTGGTAACCGTTTTGTACAACGTTCAAAGGTTTGAACGATCAATCACTGTTACAATTTGCTACAGTCGAGGTATGATGACTTTGTTAATTTATTTGAATGATATGATCGTAACAATAGATGACAGTACTCATAAAAAAATAAAGAATGACTGTGAGGAACTCGACGCCTCACAAACGGGTTACATGCTATCTTTTAGTTGAAAAAACTCGGTCTACTTTCTTATTTTCTCGGGTTTGAAATTGGCAGGTAAATAGAGGGCATTCTTATTCTGAAAAACAAGTATATCGATAAACACACGACCTGAGATGTCATATGTCGTTTAAGTTATTAGTGTCATATACTTGACGAACACACGATCCGACCTCAAAATGGTCACAAACCTTTAATTTGTAACGACTTGGTAACAAACCTTTGCTATTAATACAAAACGGTCACAAATTAAACAAAAGTGACCATTTCAAACTTTTGTTACCGTATCGTTACAAATTAAAGATTTGTGACAATTTTGTATAAGCACAAATTATGCTAATTACCCTTAAATTATTAAATAGATAGTAAAGTTATAAATATAACTAGAGTTGGGCCCGCCCGTTGGCCGGATGAATTACATCAATTAATATAATAATAATAATAATTATTATTATTATTATCTGAATCATTTATTTGATAACATGAAAGAACTCAAATTAGTCAATTACTAAAATTATAAAAAATAACATATATATTATAATATCTTGATCATTCATGGACAAACGTCCTTATAAAAAACAAACAACATGTAATTGATTCCTAAAAAAACTTAATATTCAAAAAGCATTTCAATTACTCTCTGTTGTTACAAATTACTACGAAATTCATTTTGGATTTCTTTTTGATTGCTCCGACATCAAAGCATTTTCTCCACACAACTTCATCTTTATTAATAAAACTTTATATTCACCATCAATAGTCTCTTCCTTCTTCTCCTCTATTTCATTGCAAGCTAAATTTTAATGATAAAATGTTTGGAAATGTGAATCATCTTTTCACAGTAGTAGAATTTCACCTCACACACATCATAAATATTATCAACCATTCGCTCTTTACCCAGTAAATGTCATAAATTTTGCCCGAGATTGCACTTCTTCGTACTTCATTATGTTTAAAATTGTATACCCACTTATGGGGTTAGCGATGTTGTAATCGATGAGCTTGATCTGAAAATTTAACTTCAAGCTCTTAGTTTGTATGAGATGAGAAACTGAATTTTCTTGCATTTTGTCACTATCTTTGAGTAGTTTCTCAATAGAAATTTTTAAAAATCTAGCTCTCTCACGATATAGGGTAATAAAGTTAGATTAAACAAATGTTGTCTACAACTCACATCTAATCCTGAAGTTCAAAAATATAGAAGGTTCTTGGTTACGATATTTTTTCTATAATGAATGAACTTAAAGTTAAAAACAACAGAAGAGTAGAGGTAGATTGTTACCTAACTACTAATTGTCTTTGATGTTGTTGTAAATTCCTATAAAAATACTCGTCATATAGTTTTCTTCAACTTTTCTTTGGAAAGTTTCAATTAATATGGTTTTTCTTACCCATTTAAAATCATAGTTGAAATGAATGAGATATAGTCCGCTAAATTTGTGAGAAATTGAAAATCCCTTAAATATAGCTCTTGAGATTTGTGCTAGCTGTAACTAAAGAAGGTTTTGCACCAAAATTTCTTCCCTTTTACTTGGCTGTTTGAGGATCTAACTCGAACACTGTTTTGTCAATAAGATTACTCTCTGAGGTGAATATATTTTTGAGGCTCGGAATCAATAAATATAGTACTGAATAACATTATGAATTAACTTAAAAACTCAAAATAATATTGAAACAGTTATAACATAAAAAAATATGTTAGTGTTGTCAAAGGAGTTTTGATAAGAATTATCATCTTACTAATATAACTCTCTCATTAATATTTGATAAAAACCAAGGGAAGGTATAAAAAATAAAGCAATGGGAGTTGTCGATTTGCCGCTATGGTAAAAGAAAACTATACATCACAACCATAAATCTAAGGTAGTATGATCTCATAATTTTTTATCGTTACCTACAAAAAGAACCTAAGAAGAAATCATCTAGCTGCTGGGTTTAAATTATGAACTTCTAGTCTGTAGATGGACATTGCGGTTCACTCTCTTTGCTAAAAATTTGAAATGGAGAAAAGTAACTAAAACTCTACTATCATAGGGAAATCTCTAATGACATGG